AGTGCTCACTGGGGAGCCCCACTGAACTGGCAGTGCCCACTGGGGAGCCCCACTGCACTGGCATTGCCCACTGGGGAGCCCCACTGCACTGGTATAGCTCACTGTGGGAGCCCCACTACACTGGAATAGCTCACTGGGGAGCCCCACTGCACTGGCAATGCCCACTGGGGAGCCCCACTGCACTGGCAATGCCCACTGGGGAGTCCCACTGCACTGGCAATGCCCACTGGGGAGCTCCACTGCACTGGCAATGCTCACTGGGGAGCCCCACTGCACTGGCATTGCTCACTGGGGAGCCCCACTGCACTGGCAATACTCACTGAGGAGCCCCACTGCACTGGCAATGCTCACTGTGGGAGCCCCACTACACTGGAATAGCTCACTGGGGAGCCCCACTGCACTGGCAATGCCCACTGGAGAGTCCCACTGCACTGGCAATGCCCACTGGAGAACCCCACTGCACTGGCATTGCTCACTGGGGAGCCCCACTGCACTGGCAATGCTCACTGGGGAGCCCCACTGCACTGGCAATGCTCACTGGGGAGCCCCACTGCACTGGCATTGCTCACTGGGGAGCCCCACTGCACTGATGGAATCTCCTGATGCCCCGTTATGGTGTTCCCAGGCCATCTAAGTTCAGTGACTACACCTCACCACACTGTGCCTTAACAAGAACAAACACACAGAGAAGAGTGCTGTGGAGATGCTCGCGAGCTAGGTTCCCAGCACCTCTAACTCCAGCTGCAGAGGCTCCGATGCCTCTCACATCCATGGGCACCCACACACATGCACATACCAACACACAGACTCACGCACATATACATACACACACGATTAAATCTACAATAATAAGAAAATGACCATTTTCCGATGCCTGGACAAAAGGGAACAGATATTAGCTCTCACATAAAATTCATCACAGGTTTTAGCATTTCCCCCCTTGGGAGAGATCTGACTTCTGTTGAGTGGGGCTCTACTGCCACCTCCTGGAACACGGCTTGGTGGAACACGGCTTGGTGGAACACGGCTTGGCGGAACCCAGCATCCTGCACAGAGAGAGCCCCCTGCAGGAATGAGCTCTCCTTAGGTAATTCCTGCCCAGGCGGATTCCGACTCCCCCCTCCATCTAGAGGTGCTCATTTCTCATCATCACATTTTTTTGCCCAGGACCCAGCACAGGGATTGGACTCTGTCCCCTTTTCTTTCTTCTAAGTAGGTTACATCAATATTAATTTTTGACCCACAACATATGTTAATGTATTCATATTATATATAGATATTACCTGAATTTGACATTTTCCTTTATTGGGGGAGGAGGGCAGGAAAAACGTCTACAGAGAAAAAAATCTCCAATATTCATATTCAAGCACAAATCTTCTTTGATCTCTTCTTTCTCAAGATCTTTCATATATTTAATTTATAAGAATTCAAATAGCCAGTAAATATATAGAAAAAAATTCAAAGATGTGAAAATATCTGTAATAGCAGCAATAACCAGGAAAGTGTAAATCAAAGAGAGGTCATTTCCAGCCATCAGATTAATCAAAATAAAATTTATTAAAATTAGCTAGGGACTGGAGAGATGGCCCAGTGGCTCAGAACTGACTGTTCTAGCTGGGTTTGAGTCCCAGCACCCACACGTCAGCTCACAACCATCTGTAAGGCCAATTCAGGGGTATCCAAAACCCCTTCTAACCTCCACAGATACCAGGCACACAGGGTACACAGACATCCATTCAGGTAAAACATCCATACACATAAGATTAAAATAATTTTAAAAGAACAACAACATCTAATGTAAAAAAAAAAAAGTATCTGTTTACCTAGTGAGGGTAAGAATATAATTTGGTCCAGTCTTTTTGGAGGATAATTTGGCAGAATCAATCAAGATTTTGTTTTGTTTTTGAGACATGGATGGGTTCACTAGGTAGACCAGGCTGGCCTTGAACCAGAACTCTCCCACATACCTTTTATAGCATCAAAATATTGACCTCTGGGTGACAGGAGCCATAAGCCTAAGTGACTCTTGACACACATGCCGCCATATTTGGGCTTCTCTCCTCTTTTCTTAGATCTAGGCCTTGCTTAAGTCTCCATAGCACCAGAATCTCTTCTCAGAAATCAGGTGACCGCGCTGCAGTTAGGCAGTTAGGCGAGAGTAGATAGATAATCCCCGGAGCAACATTCCCTGCTGGCTGAACAACCCATGATTAAAGTCCCCTCCCTGCTTGCACACCTCCCCCTCTTTGCCCCCACCTATATATGCCTTAAGAGGAAAATAAAATTTTGGAGCTTGATCAGACGTCCTGTCTTGCTCTCATTCTTTGTGTCTCTTGTCCCTCTCATTCACCGGCCCTCCCTTCAGGTCCCCATTGAGGACCCCACTGGCCGGGGCATCTGGGGACCACTGAGACTGTTTCTCTGACATCCTCTCTTACCTTCATCACTTTGTAGAGGCCATGTGATTCCACGGATACATTGCCATTAGCACAGCCAGCAGAATCCCAGTTCCTTTCACTTCCATTAATGAAGGAAAGAATTTAGCAGAAAATCAGTACCCAGTATCCCATGAGAGGAGCTTTGCTTAATGACTAAGAAAACATCTCATTTCTTCCTTTAAAAGTGGACAAGGATGCAAGTAATACCAGGAGTCTAAGCTCATATTACCTATTTAATTTTTTATTTTATGTGTATGGGTAGTTTTCCTACATAGATGTCTGTATGCCACTTGTGTGCCTGGAGGCTGTGGAGGCCAGAAGAGGGCATGAGGTCCCCAGGAACTGGAGTTACGGGCAGTTGTGCGCTGCCATGTGGGTGCTGGGAATTGAACCCAGGTCCTCTGGAAGAACAGACAGAGCTCAGAACCACTGAACCATCTCTCTAGCCCCCAGCTCTTATTATCTAAATAAAGGTTTAATAAATTAATTTCTGCTGTAAATAATTATAAGCATAATTTATGTCAACAAACACCCCTTGGCTTTCTTACAAAGTAAATTCTTTAAGCCAAGGTTTACACAAAATATGAACATCTCTCTGCTTTCCATTGCTATTCTTATTACTACATTAATATGGTCTGGTGCCAAATTTTGAGAGACAAAGACGAATCAGCAGGGTGGTGACAGTACACTATTCCTGTCACTGCCTGGGGGGCTCGTCCTAGTCTAGGGACACGGAAGTGTGGGGACTCGAGATACAATATTTTCATTCCCCTAGGGGACTCTATGTTAACTGATGCAGCATTTCCCAGAATTTTATTTGAACCTTTCTCACTTCTACAAGAAATGATTCTGTGTGCCAGAGTAAAGAATAAAAGAATTAGACAAGGCTCCAAAATGGGCTGAGACAAATTTTCTTGAAAACGTAAAGTGGTATTTTTGTTTTAAAGAAAGTTTGCGGTGAATAACGTATCAGTGTCCCAAGCTCATGTTACTGGTGAGAGACACGTCAGGATTTGAGGTAAGTCATTTCTCAGTGTGTGAAGCAGCAGATGTGTAGTGGATTAGTTACATCTTCAAGTTATTTCATGTTTGAAACTAAGAAGAGGAAAAAAGGTAATACCAATTAGAAAGGAATATGAGAACATAACTTCTCACGCAAACAGAAGCGTTCAAGCTCCTACTGCCGTTAAACACACTCGACACAAAACACTAGAGAAAAAGTCAGTCCAACTCACTCAACAAGCCTAAGTCTCTAGAGCGAGCTCTGTTGGGCGCTGCTTCCTGGCCTGTGTTTGGTTGCAATCAGGAGGCCTTAAAAACAATTTAACCACGTTTTCCAGTCTAGTCTGACCAAGAGCTTCATACAGACCCAGCCGGACACAGTACGCTACTAAGAGGAGAAGGCGAAAGTGATTGGGAAGCCTGCCGTTCCAAACGCACCAGGGGGGCTCTGCCAGCAGAACCAGGCTCTAAGTTTGGGCCTGGGTCTCTCATACTTTTGCCAAATGGTGTTACAAAATGTCATTCTGTACAGCCGTACAAGAAAATTAACATGACACCCTGTGTCTATAATTTCCACCAGAAAAAAAGAGAAGAGAATTAACTGATTACTTCAATTGTATTTATTAATACCATATAGTGGTATGTATATCATTTATAATCTAATTAATATAAATTGAAACCATCTATCGTGCTTAGACAATATTTATTAATTTTAAAACATAGGTAGGCACAGCAAGCCCATTGTCTCTCAAAAGTACTTAAAATAATTTCACATTAGCATGTTCACATAAAGTGCATTCTTGTAAGAAAAGACTAAACACCCACAAATTGGAAAAAGATATTTTGGTCAGTACCTACAGACTTGATTTGAACAATCTCTAGTTCTTTGGCTCCACACCAAAGTTCTAACAAAATATGATCTTCGAATATCAATAAGGACTTGAGAAATGATTTTTAATTCCTTAATTCTAAAGTTCATAACGTGTCTTAACAGACCAAAGATACCACACTCAAGTATACAAATGATCAGGTAGCTGACAGACCCTCAGTTGTCAAGCTAATATTTCCGCAGTGGCCTTTCGGTGAAAACAGCACTGAAGTGAGCTGGGTGCCCCTCAGCTGTAAGCGCCGTCTGCTTCTCGTGCTGCTGTCTATTGGGAAGAGTTCTCAATGTAACAGTAAAAGCATGGGATTCTAGTAGAAAGCCTACTTCTACTGACAGAGTGACTTTATCAGCATGTTAGTCTTACTAATCTAGGCAAACCTTTGCTTGGTCAAACGTTTAAAACACGGCTTTTCAATAAAAATAGAATTTTAATTTAACTACTACCAATAGACTTTTTGTTGGAACCTTTTATTTTTGCCTCCTCCTGGATGTCTACTCCTTTGAGGTCCCAAGTGTCCAAGTTTAGGATTTCATTTTTAAGTCCCCCAAGGTAATGAAGAATTCTTGTTCAGCTCTTAGGCTAAGTTCTAGTCAACAGCTTTTGAGAAAAAAAAAAAAAAACCTACACAAATTCTGCCCCTGAAGAGCTATATTCTCAAATGATAAATGTGGGCATGGCTAAAAACCCAGAACCAGGACCCTGGAGTCAAACTGGTCTGATCCCCCACCTAAAAGGTTGTAAACCTGTTCATCAGAAAGTGTATGTGGAATGCAGGTAAATGACTATGCACCTTGGTAAAAAGGCTTTTGGGTAAGCCGAAGTATTTGTGATAAAAAGGCAATAGGAATTTCTGTGGGTCCAATCCACTATCAACCTCTATCATAACCACTATCACAGACAAGATTGGAGTCCATGAGCTTCCATAAAGCCTCCTCAGTTGAGTGGCTCAATAGTGACTGGCCTAGCCAGGAGAACTAGTTGGATTAGTAGGCAGCTGTGCACCATCTCTTATTTTGTATACCTTTTTCCTCAGTGAGAAGCTCAGTTCTTAACTCCAAGGTGTACCTACAAAACTCTCCTTCACACCATTCCAATCATGTCCTTTCACACAGAACGTTAGCACCAGAATCTCTCACTACAGAGGACTATCCAATCTAAGTCATTAGAAATGAAAGGGCTGTCTGCCTGGTGTATCAGCACAGTTCTTAGATCAGAAGAGACCAGATTCCCATGACACACGGACTGGACATCAACAGCGACAGAGAACAGACACACATCCAACCACAAACAGCAGTCGCATTCCACCTTAGTGCCTAGAAACAAGCTTCTTAAATGTGTTCTTACAGTTAAAGTAAAGGAAACTTCTCTTATAGATCCTAGCTTTTTGTTTTCATTTTCAACTGTAAACATTTATATAGATAATACACAAAGTTCAATGCACAAGACATGACTTTCATAATGATTCTTTCCCTTTTTTTACTCACTTTTAATCTCAGATAACTTTAAATACACAATCTAGCTAATATCAAATACACATTCATGTAACAAGAACCGTATCACTATTCTTCCATGGATATATCTCGAAATAGGTTGGAAAGGTGAAGGGGTAAGAGCAGGGGGGCACGTGTTCAATCTTCCTCTGAAGTATTTGGACGTCTGTCTTGCCTTCTTCTGCAAAGCCTTTCTTAGAAAACGTAGGTAGTTGAGAAGGAAGCAGTCAAGCCGCAGATCTCTTCTCGGGCATCAGTGCGCTGGCTGCAAGAGGACGTCATCTCAGTGCTAGCAGCATCTAGAAGCAGGGCACACCACCAAACACTTTACACAGTCTTCCTGGAAACTGACCTTCACGTTGCTTACTTTCTCATGTCGAATATGTTGGTGATGCTTGTGGTTACTGTGTAGTCTAAGAAACTTAAAGATTTTAAAGACAATCTTTAGGATACTTATCAATCTAAACAATCACGTGTAGCACACTGTCTCATTTTAGACAAACACTGGCTGATTTTGATGTAACAGACCTAAGTTTTCTAGGGCCTGCAACTTGTCGAGTTCATGTGAACTGACTGTCCACAGTTCACATGAACTAACTCAATGCACTGCATCATCCAGGCCTTTTGTGTGGCCTTGGAAGAGCTTGTGCAAAGGAAAGCTTGCAATTTAAGCTTTGTTCACTTGAAAGTAAATTTAGCTTTGACATCATAGGTGTTCAAAATACTTCATTAAGGTTAATTAATTAACATGATATTTTATCGCCATCACATTTTACAGAGTTAATGAGAGATCAATAAGAAATGTTGTGCTTAAGGTCACATAACAGATGTCTGAGTGAGACTGGGCTGCTAAAGCGTTCAGTTCTCACAAGCAAGGCTACTGTTTACTATATTGTGTATTCTGCTTTACTGGGACCAAAATGGCCAGGTAATCACTTAATGGATCTTGCTTTACAAGACTGACTCTGGAGACAGACATGCATTCTCCTGGAGGACTTGTCACCCTACATTCATATTGTCTCATCCAATAAAATGCAGGTTAGCTTAAGAACAAATGGAAGCTCCATGGGAAGTGATTTCATCCCACAGACGATGGTACCCCGGCTTTTCTAAGCAGCACACCCCTTCTTTGCCAGCAGTTCTCACGGAATCACCACAGAATGTTTTCACTCAAGTTTTAAGGAGGAGGAATCAGACGTACCCTGTTCAGGCTAAGTGAGTCTCAGTGCTGATGCTCCATACGAGGCAAATCACCCTCAGAATCCTCTGACAGGGGAGATCCTGATCCCTACAAATTAATAAGTAAGTGTTACAGGTGTCCAGTGATTGCAAAACTCCCTCTACCCCAAAATTCTGATTGAGTCTTTTCAGACTCAGGGGCTCAGGACTGAAGATGCTCTTGTGGAAAAGGAGGAAGTAAGATGACCCAATTCCTATATTTATACACATTTTATTTGTTTGTTTGTTTGAGACAGAGTTTCTTATAGCCAGGGCTGGCCTCCAGCTTGCTATCTAGCCAAGAATGACCTTGACCTCTTGATCCCCTGCTTCCAATTCCCAAGTGCTGGGATGATAGGTCTGCACTGCCACACCTGGTTTATGTATGTGAAATGTTTGAGAGCTTGGAGAGATAGCTTAGCGGTTTAGAGCACTTGTTGGATTCAATGCCCAGCACTCACATAGTAGCTCACAACATCTGTAACTCCAGTCCAGTTTCAGGGTCTCTGTCCCCTCTTCTGACTTGGCACACACATGGTACACATATATATGTGCAGACAGACCATTCATACATATAAGATGAAATAAACAGATCTTTAAAAGATACTTTGGAGCCAACTGTCAGCCAAGCACTAGAGAGGATTTTGAGTTCAAGGCCAGACTGGGCCACTCAGTCCCCAAAAGACTCATGAACAAAGAGGAGATACTTCTGGTCTGCCATGCCCCAGTACAACCAATCTCTCCCACTCATCCCAAAACAAAAGCAAGAATCTGTTGGAACCAAAGCAGGCATTACAACTGTTACACGCAGTAGAGGAAAACATCCTTAAAGCGAATGGCAGAAATTCTCAACCCAGGCACAGAGGCTGCAGGCAAATGACCAGTGCACATGTTAGGACTGAGTGAGGCCAAATCTGAAGTGTGGAGAGCTAACTGTGTGTGCGAGCTGGGCTGGTTAAGGTCACACAGCGGGTGATGAAGCGCTTGCAAGCATGAAAAACTGAGTTCGGTCCCAGAATCCATGTGAAAAAGCTGGGCTTTGTAGCATGCGCTTACGGTCTCGGCACTGGCGAGGGTGAGACACGTGGCCACCTGAGACTTGCTGGCCAGCCACGTGGCCACCTGAGACTTGCTGGCCAGCCACGTGGCCACCTGAGACTTGCTGGCCAGCCACGTGGCCACCTGAGACTTGCTGGCCAGCCACAGCAGCCTAATCAGTGAGCTGCAGGTGAGTGAGAGATCATATCCCAGAAGACAAAATGCACAGACCCTGAGATGATAATACAAACACATAAATATAAGGAGGGTGGATCAAGGAGAATAATCAGTATGTTCAAGAAGTCTTGGACACATTCAAGAGGCTAAACCTGAGAACTTACAGGACAGAAGGAGCAGAGGTAAAATTGAATAGAATAGACAAGACTATTTAGTCACATTATTGTGGCACTGTTGGGAGGGGGTGGCTACTGCACAAAAAAAAGAGAGAGAGGGAGAGAGGGAGGGAGGGAGGGAGGGAGGGAGGGAGGGAGGGAGGAAAGAATGAAGAAAGAAAGAAAAAGAAATTATCACAGAAAACTTCCAAATTTACAGAAAGAAGTAGGCTTCTAGACACAAGAGGTATACACAACTCCAAACAGACACAACCAGAAAGGAATCGCTCCATGACACAGTATAGCGAGGGTGTCAAAACACAAGGTAAAGAGATAATCTTAACAGCAACACTAGATGAATGGATAATCAATATTTGATATACATAGAGAACAGAATACTATCTAGCTCTAAAGAAAAATTAAGTTGTAAAATTTGCAAGAAAATGGATGGACTTAGAATGTGGAATATTAAACAAAACCACGAAATCTCAGAAAAAAACCCACCACATTCTCTCTCATATGCAGAATCTAGCCAGCAATATATGTGCACATGTAAACACACATTCTTGTGAGTATAACATAACACAAAGAAAAGAGAGCAAGAGCCAGCCATGGTGGCCCACGCCTTTAATCCCAGCACTTGGGAGGCAGAGCCAGGCGGATCTCTGTGAGTTCAAGGCCAGCCTGATCTACAGAGTAAGATCCAGGACAGGCA